AAGTCATTTATCTACATACATACATACTTTACATATAACCAACAGCAAAAAGAAACAGAAAAGAAACTCAAATGCATGTAGATAGTTTTGATGAGTTATAATGACACCTCTCAATCCTTTGGCCATCGCGGCCCGTTTTGGTCTGCCAACCATTTGACGGGCCGTGACGTGCGATGTTAGTCTTTTTACCACATTCTAATGGTTTCCCGTTGCAATTGGCCTTTGTCGAGCATTCAATCGGTTATATTGTCAATGAGCCAGTTGCCCGCGAGCCATCAATATTTACCTACCTAGGTTAGGTACCTACTGCCTACATAACAAGCGCCTACCGGTAGTTGCAGATAAGCCGTATAAGTACGGACGTAGGTAAGTAGGTAGGTAGTGCGTGTACGGATCCGTACAGTAGGTAGGTACACTAAGTAGTACCTACGAATGTACCTAACCTAATGTGCGCTGAGGGGTTTCCCCCCTCTTTCCCCCCTTCCCTGTGTCGATCGGCCTTAGTAAGTTTTGGTCTGCGGGGCAGTAATTAATTAGGTAAAGTACCTAGTAGCGCGTGGGTAGGGAGAGGAGGTATCCGCTTCTCCAGACGGAAAAGCGCGGGAATTGTGGGAAATGTCCCCAGAGTCAGATGTACGAAGTACCTACCCAGGTAACTACCTAGTTCCAATTTCCAACACAATGGAAGAAATGCCTAATACAGGAAAGGCTCACCGGGGGCCAAAGTCGGGCTGATGCTCGACGGGAAAGATGATCAAAAACTCCATCAACCAGGTACTACTGTGTATATTTCTCTAGGTACCCAAGTCGGTCATGATAGGTACTCGTCACAATGAACCCCGCCTCGGCGTCCTCACGTCCTTCAGCCTGCGCATCACCTGCAATTCTCCACCTCGATCGTCATCAGCGACCCTGCGTCGTAGGTATATCTCTCAATTCTATCAATCTTGATCCATGCTTTCATCCACGTTCTGCAAATATAAGGTAGATATCCGTACGTGATGACGATAGGCAATATTCCTCCGATCTGTCCGCTCTGCTGGGTTCAGTTCAGCTTGGACACACATGAGAGTGACAACGCCCCATTCTCGCCGCCTTCGCCTTTTGGGCATAGCTCCAGATTGCAGCCCGTGAAATCATTACACAAGTCGTTGCGCCCCCGCCTTCAAACGATCTGTGTCTTAGATATCTGCTGCTGAAGAACGACCCTTTCTGCACTTCACCTGTCGTACTGCGCTGCCGTGCAAGATTTTCTCTGGTTAAGCAATTGTCCCGCTTCTATTGTGCGGAATACACCCAGGATCGCCTGCCGTTGGGCCGATTGCCCTCATTGTCATCTCCTGACCCTCACTTCTGCGCATGCTGTGTCAGGTTTGATGCGCTCCCGATGGTCGGCGACCCTGCACTCTCCACTACCTGCTTGCTTGCTGGGCTCGGTAGTCAACGTTCTGACCTCCCTCCTCCTTACATACAACCATTCATATCGCCTTTTCTCTCGGTTCCCTTGAATTCTCTGGTACATCTATATCCCTGTATTCATTGGCCGTTTTTACACAGCAGTCCAGCTACATATGTGCGTACTAGGTAGGTAGTATAAGGTACCTACTTATAAGTCAATTCTTGGCCGCATATGAAGTGGAGATCTTCTCCAACCAAAGTGTTGTTCATCATTGATCCTTTTAGGCGATACTACTCTGGCAAGGATCGCTCATCAGCGATTCTCTGCTTCTCAACTTGGTATGTACTTATTTTATGGTGCTAACGTAACGCTGAGCAGGCTTACCCTTTCACTTGTGTACCAGAAAAGTAGTACCTATAGGTACTGCACTACCTACCTACTTCGTAGGCAGGCAAAGCAAGTCCTGCATGCTAACCTACTTAGGTTGTTTGATAAGTATGACCTCTAAATATAACTGTGGCGAGAACGTATAAGTAAATGATGATACTACTTATATCTATAGGTCTAAGGCATGTAACACTGCAAAAATTGTTGTCTGCGTACATACATTTGCAGTGTATACGTACATCAGCAGGCCAAGTGAGCCCACGTCTGCTGCAAACGTAGGGATCTGGCCAGCCAGGCCCCAGTCCTACGACTGGGTACGGCCTACATAGGTACTGTACAAAGTACTCACTTCTATTCAGACAACTCAAACATTGACGCCGCCCGGGAACATACAATTACATAGCAAAATTTTACGATTCTCGGATGGGAGGCGAATGAGAGGCGAATTCGTTCTGTTGGGGGAGATTTTCAAGCAAAAAGACAGGAGACTATTTCACCCAAACGGGAAATGTTGGGACACGGCGAACAGCTGATATATCTACTATACTACCTACCGTTTACGGCAGCTCTCCGGCTGGAGCAAAGGATACATATGTGTATCGTTCAACGACGTAAAAAAATGAAAATTTCACTTAGGTAGTAGGGGTGTGCGTGTGTGTGTGTGTGTGTTCTCTGCACGTATGCATCCATCCATGGTGGTCTGGATTCGAAGCAGCAACTGTTGTCTGTCTGCTCGGCCATACCCGAATACGTCTACCTATGCCTACCTACATCAAATTCTCGGTCTTGACAAATCTCTGGACTAGACAGCCATAATAAGCGAGTCAATCAACTAAAATTCTTCTGTTCCGTCGGTAATGATCCTTTGATCCCTATTGGACTGGATGAATATCTGTGCCGCGACAGGATCCCCCGCTTACGTTATCGTCTAGGTACCTGCCGCTACGTTTCGGCGTCGAGTAGATAGTGTAGGTTAGGTAGGTAGTCGAATGGGGCTGTTGGTTTGGAATATTACCTAAGTGTAAGAGACTTATGTAAGAGACTTACCCGATTCTCGGCATTGGTTCTCCGGGAATATTTGCGTTTTGCCGCGATGTCCGTTGGACCAGAAACAAAGATATCCCTAAAGAGTAGTACCGGTAGGCAATTACGGGTAAGTACGACCAAACGCGTAGTATAAGTTTTGCGCAACGAATAGATCTTGCATATTGGGCCGGATGTGGCGTCTTGAATGAGTGAATGGCCTCTCAGAGGAGGGGATATGTTCGGATATGTACGGTATTCTCGCAAGTATTATTCGTTTTTTCTGAAAGCGCGGATTCTAGACGTTTGCCAAACTCGTGGCGAAGCAAAAGCATTGGCAGATTTTGCTTCTATGTAGTTTCTTTGTCTCTCTCGCTCTCTCTCTCGTTTTTGCGCCACGGCTCGGAGGCGAAATGATGGAGGGTAGATCTTGTGGGTTTGAAACCCTATTGTCATCGCAGGTTCGCTCTGGGCATGGTTTCGTGTTCTATGGGGCGAGACTCGGTTCAAGGATGTTCCCTCCTTCCACTGAGTCTGGGCACGGCGACGAGAAGCAAGCCCTGATGATGCATTGGCCCTGTACTGTGCTGTACAGCTTGTTGTATGGATAAGCTTTCATGACCCGCACCAACCACGCCTGAGTGGTCGCGGAAGAGCCAAAGCTTGACGAGATAGAGAATAGGCCCGGTGTACATACCTCCAACAGCATGACGAACGTATCATCTTACATGTTCGGATCGCGTACTGGGCCACTGAATGGGTCTTGGGAACCAGGTCCGCATCATGCGGGTGTCGATGTCGTCGGTTGGTTGGAGACTTCCGGTTTCAAGGCGCTGGGAACGATTCACGGCATTTTGCAGACTCGCGAGTCCGATCTGCGCGGTTCGAAAGTCGCGATAGCGCGGTGCTCCCAAACCTTGGACTTATGCTGGCGTAGATATTGGAATACAGGCCGATTGTTTCATTGATACTGATCGCTTCATCGATCAGAGGACCTCGAGGAGAATATAGACCGATGGGTTCACTGATACCGATCGCTACCTTGGTCGGAGAACATCGAAGGGACTTTTTCTCCCCTCGCTTTGCTGGCCGTCGATCTGACGTTTGAGGCCTTGTGTCTTATTTGTGACACCAGGGTTCTTCTTAAACGTCATCATCCCGATGGCACTGAGACGGCGTCACGGTGGCTGCTCTCTGTGCGTTATAGAGGCTTTGGACTATCAAAATTTAATAATACGGAAGTCGCCTTATGGATGTCCGGTGCCGCAGCGTTTCGGGTTTACCCAGGAGTCGGCGATCATATCATCGGCCCACATCCGCTTTGTAAGCGTAGTCGTAGGATGGATGGTACGTCTACCGATAAACCCGATGAAAACCGTGGAAGAGATTAGTTCAATGCCATTGGTGCTATGTTGATTGAGCTCCTTATTACGTGGGACTAGGATGTCCTCAATCTCCTGGAAATCCTTTAAGACGACCACCAGGTTGCGGATAGAAGAACGCGGTAGCGGCGATGGGAGATTCAAGTCTCTGCATTGTCGCATATGCGTAAGACTGATCACAGACGTCTTGCTCTCCTGACCACCTAACACAGGTCTGAATATTGGCGACGGTGCAGTTTAGTCAACTCTTGTTGTTGTGAATGCCCAGGTACGGCTTGGACAGAGCCTGAATAGGGCAAAACGAAGCAGAAGAACATGTAGCAAGATACTATACCACAAAAGCCAATTATTGAGCACCATTCTGAAGCCTGTGTCACTGTGCTACGCTCTCTCGATAGGCTCAATACTGTCACTTGCGGTGTTATCAGGGTGAACCAACACATCAATCGGTGTCAGGGCATTCAGGAGGTCTTACGGCCGTAAGACCTCTCGGCGATCTCAGGTCGATTCAGACGGCTTAATGGCAGAGGATAACGGGTTAAACAGATATCTGTGCTGGGATCATCGGCATTGAGCTTGTCAGAGGATACCTGATCGTTCAAGCCTCATTTCGGAAGTGCAAGCAGTCGCCAATACTTGGACACTTCAACCCCGAATAATCCATCATGACAATATTTTCGACGTCGAGACTGTGAGCTGCGTAAAAAGCCGAAGAAAGAATAATCAGTCGTATGCCAGACAGACGCTGAGGTTAAAACAAAAAGAGAAGAGAAAAAAAGCAAGTTTAACAAAAAGTGAAGCAAAAGATTCTCTCGATCGGGGAATCGAACCCCGGCCACCTGCGATCTGCTGCCAGTAATCCGAAATTTCAGATCACTCGTTGACAAGCAGGTATCCTGACCACTAGACCAATCGAGATTACTTTGATTGATGGGATTTGGTGGATCTAGCGCCAACTATAGAGCAGCTGTCGAAAATTAGCTTGCAGCCAGTGGTGGAATTTATTAGGTAATTTTACGGACGTACCTACCCTTCGTTATCTTGACTGCGGGATCTTGCACCTGCCTTACACTAATGCATGCTTATCTCCTGAAGCTCGGCTTTGGAATTCAAGCTCCATTTCTTTGCTTGGCGGTGCAGTAGGTACCTTCTCCCTCCTACCACGTGACTGCCTTATCCGTGAAGAATAACGTACCTACCTTGAGTGGCGTTTTTCACGCATTCTGATTCGGTTTTTTGGAGGTGCACGGACCTGGATTCCAAAGCTGCCCTCATGGAGATGGAGATAGATCTACTTAGGTACCTTACTCTAACCCCACAGTATGGAGGGAGAGCGCTCTCTTATCATCTTATTTTGTTGTCTTTCTACTTTATAGATCGAGCAGAGAAGCGTCGCTGAGAATCTCATGCCAGACTCTCCGTGAACGAGTACTAATTATTAGTCCATCAATCTTGCCCGGTGTAGACGTCTATACGCTCATAACAGGTCCTGCAGGACATATATCATCATCATGCTGCACTCCCATGATGGCCTGAGCCACTCTCATTCGCATGCTGGCATCTCGGCTGCCGATCACGGCCATTCCCATGAAATTCTCGATGGACCCGGCAGTTTTCTGGGCCGGGAGATGCCCATCGTCGAAGGCAGAAACTGGAACGAGCGAGCCTTTACCATTGGTATTGGAGGGTAAGTTGACCATTCTAGATTCTTGTGTAATTCATTGGTAATACGGATTCACTTGGCGCAATTATTTATACATATCTACATCATACATCATGCATCGTGCTACTCTATTCTCACTCGCTTAGCCTATCTATCTCACAAACACATATGACGCATGACTAACACCCATGACCCCGCCAGCCCCGTCGGCTCGGGAAAGACAGCCCTAATGCTTGCCCTCTGCCTCGCGTTGCGCGAAAAGTACGGCATAGCGGCCGTGACGAACGACATCTTCACCCGCGAAGACGCCGAGTTTCTAACGCGCCACAAGGCCCTTCCCGCCGCCCGCATCCGCGCCATCGAGACTGGCGGCTGCCCGCACGCGGCGGTGCGCGAGGACATATCAGCGAACCTAGCGGCCCTTGAGGACCTGCACACCGAGTTCACGCCCGACCTCCTGCTCATCGAGTCTGGCGGCGATAACCTGGCGGCAAACTACAGCCGAGAGCTCGCCGACTTCATCATCTACGTCATCGACGTCAGCGGCGGCGACAAGGTGCCCCGCAAGGGCGGCCCCGGCATCACGCAGAGCGACCTGCTCGTAGTCAACAAAACCGATCTCGCTGAGGCTGTCGGCGCCGACTTGGCCATCATGGAACGCGATGCGCGCAAGATGCGCGAGGGCGGACCGACCGTTTTTGCGCAGGTCAAGAAGAGTGTGGGTATGGAGCACATTGTCAATCTGATCCTCAGCGCTTGGAGGGCGAGTGGTGCGGAGGAGGTTAGTAGAAGTAGAGGAGGTCCGAACCCGACGCAGGGCTTGGAGACGTTGGTTTGATGTGATGAAGTCTAACACTCGAAGAGCGAAGATGATCAAGGGGATTTCACTTTGCTGTTTCCTGTTTGCTATTCTCAAATAGATTGGTTTTTTAAGACTGCGGAGTCATTGGAATTGGGACAAAAGTTTTCAATCACCTAGGATCGCAAAAAAAGATGTTTCTTTCTCTCTTGTTTTTTTTTCTCCCTCCTGAAACTTGCTAGCTACTAGCCGTGTTAACGAACACTCATAAATCATCAACGTAATTAAAGCTGAAAAAAAAGGTGTCTATATGTCCTCATCCATCGCATCACTTTGTCCAACAACAGCTCCTTCTTCTAACAACGGTCCCAGGAACGGGGTAGCGCTCCGCGGCCATACACGCTTGTACAGACTGACACCAACTGAGTCCTGGGGATTGATGGCGCCGTCGAAGTTGGCCTTGAAGTAGCCGTGCGTACCCAAGGTCTCCTTGATATAACCACTCCGGCCCCTCCTTGTCCACAGTGGGAGGGCCTTGAACCATTCCACGTCTTCTCGGTTGAAGAACATGTATCGGATGGTTACCACCTTTTTGTGGATATGGTAAGGATGACCGGTCAGGATGGCACGTTTGGCAATGACTCTGGAAGTCGATGGGGCACGAGAAGTGCCTGTTGCGACCAGCTGTAGAGGGAGAGTAGGCCCTTCTTCGCCCTGTTCAGGTTGAACTCGCTTGAAGAACAAGGTTGGGACGGACCCCCAAGTAATAGGCCCTGTGAATGTCGCAACTGCGGTATCACCTGGATGCAGGAAACGGTAGTATTTGTGTACATCGTTCTCGGTATTTCCGCTAGCGGAAAATAGCGGTTTGACGACGAATCTCCGAGGACCACATTGAACGATAAGCTCTTCTTTCGCTTTGATCGACTTTTCGTAGTCTTCCTTATGGCTAACGTCAAAGTTGACCACTGTCCTCTTATTCTCGTGTCTGAGGAGGCCAAAGAGGGTAATAGGTTGTGAGGGGTTGTATGACTTTTGCAGGTCTGCGGGGACATTCTTCAAGTACACGTGAACTCTGGTTCCAGGGGCGGCACCACCAACTAGAAGCTCGCGAAGTGCCCGGTTTCTCGAAGATTTGTAGTCCGATATCTGTAATAATCTGGACCATTCTTCGGGCTCATAAGGCTGGTCTTCCTCCTTGTTCCAAGGACTCGTGCGAAGACTTTTAAGACCTCTGTACTTAGCTAACCTTTCGCGAGCAAGTACATGCGGATGCAACTCAATCTCGTCAGGGAACTCCTTGTCCTCCTCTGCTTCGTCGCGTTTCCGAGTTCGATATTCAGCAAGTTGCCGTGCGTCTTCATCTTCTTCTAGCTCAGCAAAGGCTTCTGACTGGGGATACTCGGACATGGCAGCTTCAGTGGGCTCACGACCAGCGAGGCCCTCTCTACCGTCTTCAGGCCGCGCCGGTACTATTTCATCCTCTATATCCTGCATGTCCTCATCGAATTCTGATTCGGAGTCGGAGTCGGAGACATCATCCAATATCCATTTCGCTTGATATGAAGATGTGCCCTTAGGAAGCTTCCTGGGAGGCTGATATTTCTCCAGTTCCTCCTCTGAGAAGTAATGATGGTCATCAAGCAAAACGCCTTTTTTGATCGTCGGCGGCTTGGATTCCATCGCGTCATCCTCATCGTCAATATCACCCATGACTGCTTCCTCAGGAGCTAGCTCAGCAAGATTGTCCTGATCGTCACCTGGAGTCTCCATCACCTCTTCCCCGTCGGCATCACCATCCACGGCCATACTGTCAATTTTCCGTCTTTTAGCCGAGATTGGCGCTGCCGTGATCTTTTCAATTTGGAAAGTGCCCCATTCTCCCACGTGGACCAACCGATCGGCTTTGAGACCTTTTCCACGAACGACTCCTGTCAGCACAGTGGATTCGGTCTCGGTGGATGGCCACCGTACATCATCTACCAGCATCCAAGATCTCTGGTCTCTCCAATTGATCCCCTTTGGTGAAGTATTGCAGAGAGACCTCATCAAATTAGAGCACTCTTGCCTGGAATCAAGGCTGTATATCTTCTCCTGGCCTGGATGAAAGTGGGTCATGAAAGAGGCCAAGGACTTGACTACATCCGGTCGTGCTTTCGCAGGTTCAACTTTGTCGAGATTTTGGACCATGGTGAAAAGGGTTGACATGCCCTGATTTTCAATGCTTCGGATAATCAATTCTCCCAAAGGGTCAACTTCGGTCTCAGCAGACAGGACGAAAAGAATGTAATCGGCCACTCGTGCAGCATCCATGCAGGCCGACAGTTCCCGCTTGACGGGTACGTATTGTAATTTCTGCTTAAAGCGGTCGATAGAGACTCGAAATGTCGAGGCAGAGACGTCGCATTCGATGTCCAGACTGCTATTGAGGTTCCTGATAGCGGCAAGAGCATCGCCATCTGCACACAGAGGAACAACAGCAACAATCCTCGGTGCGCCATCTCGACCCATGAATATAGAAGCCTCCTTCTGATGCTCCTTGTGCTTGACAAGCTGGCGCTGCTTGGCCTGATTTCGTCGATCCATTTTAGACATGACTTGTTGGTGAGGCGTCTTCCGCCTTTCATTGGGAACCTTTCCTACAACAAAGAACTTAAGTCAGAGGAAAGGCGCATAAAGTGAACGATTTGATCGGTTATATTAGACTACCTTTCGCTTGATCTCGGAGTGAACCCTTAGTAGCCTTCCTGGATTTGAAAGATTTATGCGCAACTTTGGTAGTTGGCCGGTGCGAGTGTAGGGCCGAAGACATGATGCCGTCACCACCAGCTTTGAATCTGAACGGTAGCGAAGCCAGATTGACGGGTTATATATCTATACGCAGTGGATTTTTTTAGCCCAGGATGTGTAAAATACCTAAGGTAGGCGGACCAAAGGTAATTTATTGACTGTCAGTCGGAGGGGCGCAATGGTAAAGTGGGTTTGCCTATCGATTAGCGATAGAGGGGCAGGGTTTTTTTTTGCGTAGGTAAGTACGGATCCGTAGTATCTCGCCTAACCAGGTTAAGATTAGCTTCGGCCTATTATGGCTAGTCTATCTGCACTTCCTAGCGTAAAGCGTATGCCGCACATTAGGTAAGCTAACCCGTCTAGGTAGTAACTAGTCATCGCGTAAAGTGGACTTACACTACTTAGGTACCTACACTCCCGCTGCTTCTTATCGGGCGTTATCTACCCAGGATCCCTGCAGTTCCACTAAAATTTCCGGGCAGCGATGTCTTTCCAGCTTCTTTGCACTCCTGCATTCAAATTGTACGTACATGAGCGTTTGCGCCACGCCCTCAATTCCTTTAGGTTGTATAATACGCAACGGCGGTAACCTTTCGCGATAGAAATTGTCGCTGCACCAGAATATTACAGTCAGCCTCATTCAGCCATCTCAAATCGCCGCTGGTC